ATATATATATATATATATATATATATATATATATATATAAACGTACCTTTTATTAAGTTGTATAGGTTGATTAGACTAAAAAGATCCTTTGCTTTTTCCAGCTGTCATATTGGATTTGGCCATGAGTGAATTTGTCATAAAACTAAAAATAATATATTTTAATAATTTTATATCTTATAATTTATGAAATTATAATAAACTACTAAATTTATATTTTTTTTAATTTTTTTTATAAAATCTAAATGTAATTATACATTTAGATTTTAATTTAACGATACAGTTTATCTATTAGTTAAATCTAATCTATTATTTAAAAAATAGCCCACTAACCATTAATGTAGTGCAGATCTTAAGTTTACACTAACCATTAGTGTAGTCATATATATGAATATTATCTGTATTAAATGAATTATCTGAACTAAAGTTTAAAGCTATATGATAACCTATAGCTTTTAACTTGCAAACTGGAAAAAGTGTAAATTGGCATTATTGCGCCAAACAAGTTAGCAAACATTACAAATAAGCATAAGTGCAAAGTTTGATTGAGTACAAGATAGTTACAAAAACTGGCAGAAGTGGGAACTGACATGAGTGCGTGTAATAAATTTGCAAACATTGGCCTAGGTGCTGAATGGCATTTTGCCCTTATGCTAGTTTGCAGTTATGCCAGTTTGGAATTATGCTAAATTTTGCAAATTTATTTAGCACACTTATGCCAGTTCGCATTTATGTTGTTTGCACTTTTGCGAGTTTTTGCAACTGCTTCACACTTATACCAGTTTCCACTTATGGCAATTCACACTTATGCGAATGTTTGTAAATCTATTAAACGCACTTATGCCAATTTACACATATGCCAGTTTGCACTTAAAGCAATTTGCACTTATGTCAATCTTTGGAATTATTTATGTGCAGTTATGCCCATTTGCACTTATATCATTTTGCAGTGTGCCAGTTTTTGTAACTGCTTCCCACATGTGCTAGTTTGCGCGTACAAAATTCACAGTTATTCAGTCATCCTATTATGGTTAAACGGCAAACGTAGAGCCATGCATGGGATTTGTATTATGGATTGTAAGATGGGAGTAATATCATTATAAAATTAAACAGAGTATTTATAGGAATGCACTTTTAGTTTACTAACCTCTTCATCATAGCTATCACAAGTTTTTGACAGTTCTTACCACCAATATTTTGAACTCTTTGTTTTTAATAGAAAGAAATAATGGAAATCTGACAATTCCAAGTTAAGTAGTAAAAATTATATATTGTAAAGAAAATTAAAAAAAAATGAAAAATCTGTCATATCAGTATTTAGCAATTTACAACTGCAGAGTAACTTCAGAGTTTTTAGTCGAAACATTGTCAAGTGCTTAGTCAAACTTATAAAATACTATTAGGCTGTTCATTTCAGTTACTACTTCTTCTTCACACTATTTTATATTAAATTTTTTGCATCCTTGGGTTTTTATCTCAATTAAGAGAAGCAACACACAATATTGAAAGTCTAAACAAATTTACACTAATTAAGTTTTGCATAATCTTAACTAAACTACGTAAATAAATAAATTTAAAATGCATAAATTTAACAACTTAACAACTTTACTGGTCTAATTCTAAATCAGAGAAAAACTAATAGACAGTAAAATGCCTAATAGTGGCAATGCTATATATATATATATGAGCGTTTTTCTCAGGTTTCGGGTTAGACAAGAAAGATTGTTCCATAGATTTATAGTTTTGATAACATTGATATAATGGATTTCATGAAGGTGATTATTTAAAGTTAAAATTGGAACCTTATTGTTTGAATGATGTTTTTTTATTATTGACAGTCATGTTAGCATTTTACAACAAACATTACAATATTATTTTTAACTAAAGACTTACTTGCTTGAGATAATGGAAATCCATCATGTTTATCCTTATTATTTAAAGATGATGAAGATTGATGTGTCTTAAAATGAATCTATTGGTCATCACAATCAATATCATCTTTATTTATTATTATTTGACCTACAGAACACAAACATAGAGAATATATGAATTTCATCTAACAACTTGTCTTCTCATGTAGCAATTTTACAATTAAAAACTTTTTACAAATTACTTTACAGATTAACAACTTTATAAGTATAATAGGGTATTTAGTATGGTTTATAATATTATAGGTTTCATACTGCTAAATATTTGGTAGTAACACCAGAATATCATTAAAGAATAAAAATCTTAAAATGACATTTTTAAGTAAGTCACTCCCTTTCTTGAAACAAATCATCATATTTTTTCTTTTTAGCTTTTTTAACTATAGTAGTTCCTTTATAAAAACCACTGATATTATCATTTTTACTTTATAGAGTTAAAGAAGAAAAACTATGAGAATGTTGTTCTTTTTTCTCAAATCCAAAAAAATTTTTTTGCGTTAAAAGCTGTTGATAATTAAGTAGAATTAAAAACTTTATCTAGTTTTTTTAAACATTTAAATTTACTCAACAATTAAGTTATTTAATAGAGTAAAGTAATCTAGTTAACCACACCATTAAAACTTTATTAATCATATCCACTTGATTCAAGTAGAAATACAAACACAACCTAGTTTTAACGAAGGCATACAACTTTAAACTAAAAATACTCCAATATATTTTCAAATTTAAGTCTACAAGAAAACAATACAAACACTTGCTTGATTTAAATATATACTAATCATATAATTTTTACTTAAGTAAATCAATTCGTCTAATCGAAGGTCACGCCATAATTTGCGTAAACATACTCTTTTAGATATTGCCGTTCTGAACGTTAAAAAAAAGTTTTTTTATTAAGTGAAAAAAACGTTGTAAAATCGTTTATAAGCTAACTTAAAAATTTCGTAAGTTAATAAAAAAAAAAAAAACGTTTAAATTAACATTAAAAACAACGTTTGCAAAAAAACGTTTTTCAAACGATTGTATTAGTTCTTTTAACGTCCGACCGTAAATTGAACTGAATTAAAACGTTTTAAAAAAGTCCTGTGCTTACTGGGATAAGATATTTTGAATGCACTTGGTCTGATAATTTTTTTAGAAGTAAAACCGAATATTAGGATCTATTAAAACACTGTCTTGATGACAGTAAAAAGGACTTAATGATTGTATAAATGATAAGATAAAAATAAAGAAAATTTTTCAAAATTTAATTGAAAGAGAACTTATTTATTGGAATTTGGTAATATAAAATTTACAAACATTATCGAAGTCGACATTTTCGGGTTTTTTCTTTAGCAAACTTTTCAATGTCATCAATAAAATCAATTTGTTTTGCTAAATTATTACCAATATAAATCATGGCAAGGCGATTTATGCGATCTTAACAGGTTGTGCTTATTTTCCAAGATTTCAATTTATTTGCTACCCAGCTAGCACACTTACATTAGGCCAACTTAAGTAAAACCATTGAGAACGTCGGCTCTTTTTTCCAATGCAAAACCAACGTTGATCCGATATCATTTGGTTAATGATAAAATTATTGCCAACGGAACTAAAAACATCCGGCAAACTTACATAGGTCCAATGTATGTAAAAACATCGCAAAAAATTGATTGTTTTTACGATCTAAACTCAATGTTGATCCAATCTATATATTTCGACGTTGATTCAATATTTTTCCAATGTATGTAAAAACATCGCAAAAAGTTGATTGCTTTACAATCTAAACCCAACGTTGATCCAATGTATTTATTTCGACGTTGATTCGATGTATTTAATTCAACGTTGATCCAATATATGAAAATACATCGCAAAAAGTTGTATATTTTTACGAACTAAACCCAACGTTGATACAATGTATGCGACCGAACATTGCTATAGAGAAATTATATAACTTAAATAAAATCTTCCGTGAATAATAAAATAATAAACCACAATTAACACAAACATGATTTTTGTTGCAATGATCAAGCAATTTCAACCTTATTTAAACATATATGTTGGCTGTATATAGTATTATATATATGTATACATAAATATATATTATATCTATATAAAAATATATTGTATATATATTTAGAAAAATAGAATTTAATGAAATTTTAATTCCGAATAATATTGTATACAACCTTTTGCCAAATAAAGTTCAACGTTGAATCAACGTAAATACAATGTTGTGCCAACTTAAAATACAACGTTGGGTCAACGTTTAAAGTAAAACGTTGAATCAACGTAGAAAACATAACAATTTTCCGATTTTAAGTAAACTTTTTATCAACATTGGTTTTTAGTTTGGCGACATCGCATTTGTAACCATAAAGATATAAAAACAACTTTGGCAGCCGATGTTGGGCCATCAAAATGTGCGACATTGTTCTAATGTTTTAACAACGTATGTGTGCTAGCTAGGTAGTTTGCTAAATGATCTTTCTAAATATAATCCAGTCACTGGAATTTTACAAATGTTTTAATTGCTAAGCAGATGTTGGTAAAAATGCCTTTAAGTTGTTTGTCATAAATTGAATTCAGAAGACGAAGAAGAGAACTGTCAATACATAAAACTATTTTTTAAATATTGTTTAATTAAGTTTTTTGACAGATCTTTCTTGTTTGCATTTGCAAGTTTTTAAAATTAGGTTTAATAAAGAATTATTAATTAGATAAAGAATTGAGATTTTATAAGAATTGCAAGACACATTTTCAAGTAAAGTATATATTATTCAAAACATTGCTTTAAAGTATAAAGATTTTAGATGTAAATCTACAACATCTAGGTCTCCATTATTAAATTAATTAACAAGTAGTTCTGATAAACTCACATCATCAAAAGCAGCTAAACAGGTTAAAGTTACTGGGTAAAGTTTATATAAATATTTATAAAAATGAAAAGTAAAAAAAATGCAATTAGTATTAAAAAGCAAAAAAATAACTGGTTTTCAAAAGTAAATATAATCTAAGAATTTTTTCAGACTAAGTTTTGGTTTTTCGTGGTAAATCTAAAAGTAACTTTTTTATAATTTTTATACTATTTTATAGAGTTTACCTACAAAATCGAGAACTATAAAACATAAAGATGTGAAACTTGTTAAAAAAAGTAATTTAATTTATACAATATTTACTTAATAAAGTTTTCGTTTAAGATTTTTAAATTAATGTATATTTATGCTTCACATTCCAGGATTATATTATTTTTTTAATTATTTTATTTATACAAATATATATATATATATATATATATATATATATATATATATATATATATATATATATATATATATATATATATATATATATATATATATATATATATATATATATATATATATATATATATATATTCTTAATGAAAAAATGTAATATACCGTAAAACCCCCAAATTCCGAATGGTTTTCAACTTAAATTATCATAACTCGCGCATTATAAAATATTTCGGAAGAATTTTTTGGAATAAATAAACTTCATAACAAGACAAATCAAACGATATAAAAAAACTTTTTTTTATCCGGAATTAGGTGTCTATGTCCCTATTTCCGGATGCGTATAAAATATAGAAAAAACACACACTAACATAAGCTAAATTAATCCATTAAGCGTAATTCATGAAAACTAATTTAATCCTGTAAACAGTTTTAATTGTTTAATTAAAAAAAGAAAATATATTATTTTATTCAAATTTTTTACAAATGAATTAGTTAAACGATAATCAAAACATATGCAATGCAAGACTAATTAGAATACTGCTCACATGCAAGCCATTGGTTATATAAGCTATTTGCCCAATAATTTATGCTAGAATAACAAAGACGATCATCAGATACTAAAATACTATTTGAAGTTTGAGTTAAATGTGGGTCTTCTGATTGACTTTTTTTCTTTTAACCTTTTTTACCTGATGTTTTAGCCGACTCACTTTTTTTCATTTGTGCATTTTGTGCTTTTTGAGTTGTGTGCATTTTGTGCTTTTTGAGTAGCAGTGGCAATTTTATTTTGCTTTTTAGTTAATTTTTTTGAAGCTTTTTCATCTAATTTTTGTTTTTTGATGCTTGTTCAGCTTCATCGTAACCTATGGCATCCGTAGAAGTCATAATGTAATTAGCTGGTCGCTTTATTCTCTCACCTTTTTGAACTCTTTTATTTAGAGTTAGTGTCAATTGATCTCGAAGCATATTTAACACTGACTTGTTTATATCTTTTCCCATTTTTTGAATGGCATTATTCAAAGTTTTAAAGCATTTAAACAAATATTCACGATTTGACACTCTCGATGGTGCGTTACGTGTATAGGTATTATTTCCCAAAATTAATGGGCTAGATACTGTTTAAGAATCAAAACAAATTTCAATTGTATTGTTTTTGACAGCATGAAACACAGCACTGATGAAAGTTTTTTTAAGAAGAAATTTGCGAACAATCGAGTTGAAATATACCAGTTGTTTTGAAACCACTCCTTGCATTTTCAGGTTTAAACGCACTATTTTTGATGAGATCACGCGGCCGTGGCGCGGTGGTTACAGCACATGCTTTATAAGCAGGAGATCTAGGTTCAAAACAAGCTTTAGACATATTTTCGCGTCACGGTAAGGAAGGAGGCATTAACTTCCTGGTTAAATGCACTTGCGGATATGCATTTAACTAGGAAGTTTAGATGGTCTGTGACAAGATCGTTAAGTCTTCCTGAGGCACCTAAGTCACATAACAAAAAGCAAAAAAAGATCGTTAAACATGGGCGGAAAATGTCAATTTGTCAGGCTTTCAAAGTGATTTTTAACCAAATAATTGTCGACTATTCGTTTCCAGTCGTCTTTTACTGTTTTAAAAACACCAACGTCTAATGGCTGTAAAAAATGGCTAGTATGAGCAGGCAAACGCCAATGTTAAAAAAAGTTTTCTAAAGCTTTTTTTTTAACTTTAGGCTCAAATGTGAAGCATGACCATCAAGAATTAGAACTATAAAACCTGAAACTTTATTTCCGTTAGGCAATAAAACTGTTTTAAACCACGACAAAAAATGTTTGGATTCCATCCAGCCTGAACTACTACTGTTATAATAAACATTCTGGGCGCTACCCTTGCACCAGTCTTTTATAATATGTTGGCCTTTATTAATACAACAAATCAAGATTGTCGTCATTTGCTTTTCATTTAATAGTACTAGCTTTTTAAGATTTTTTGTTCCTTTTTTACAAAGAGTTTCGACTTTGCTTTGATCAAATTGCGACATCGAACTCATCACAGTTGAATATTTGAAACGGTTTATCGCCTAAATTATGTTCGTTATATGCTGCTGCTAGTTCCTCAAACTAACTGTCAATTATAGCTGGCTGTGTTGCCACAGCTCTAATTTTTTGTATACTGCTTACTTTTCTCGGGCAAATTTCTGTACGATATTTGTTTATAAAAGTGGAGCACCATTTTCTAGTCGGTTTGCCGTCTTTGAATAAACTATTTTGATTTGATTTAAATAGTTTTCAACAACAATAAACACGTCTTTTCTATTCAAGGCAAGGCCTATATCACTCATAAATTTTTATAAATTTTCATAACCTACAAAAATAGCTTTAGTGATGCTGCTCAACTTTCTTGGCCCTCCTCGGTCATTAGATAATCCTATTGTTCTGTCAAAAAGAGTAGATTTTGCTACATTATAAGATTTAGCAGCTTGTATATATGACATTGTTTTTCAGTAATAGCTTGGATAACTAGCTGGATTCGACTCTCTCGCTCTTCTTTTTGTTTAAATTTATCCATATTCTATAATACAGTAATACAATTAACACCGATGCATTAACTTTATGCGCGTTAAATAATAAATACCTGTATCAGGATTTAAGTGTCTATTTTTTTTTTAGCTGGTGGCTAAATTATTTGTTATTATTTTCATACGCATAAAGTAATAACTAATTGTATCCGGATTTTAAATTTTGTTTTTTTATTGCTGGTGGCTAAATTTTATTTTATTTTTTTTAGGCACATAAAATAACAATACACGTATAACATACACGTGTCATATCTTTTGATAATTTAGGCTTTACCTTTTTGGTTACCATAAAACCTGGTATTTCTTCCAGTTAAATACTTTTTTCATGAAGTTCATTAGTCAGTTCCATAGCTTTTTGCTTAAATTCAACACTCAATGAGTTTTCAGTGACATTAACTCTTCTAGGAGATTTTATAATAGTTTCTATGGTTGCCAATTTGCCCCATATATTAGCTAGAACTAACATAAAAGCTTCTTTTTTTAAGGAGCATATAGCTGAAAACATAAAGTCTTTCTGTTTACGATACTCGCTATGAATGTTCATATTTACTTGGTCAAGAAGTTGAGTAACTCCTGTTGTGTCTGGTGGAGTGACAAAGAAACGATTTTTTTTCAACTCAAGAAAAGATAAAACATCAAAGTCTAGTCTTGAGCTATGTCCATCTGACAATAAAATGATGGGCCGCCTAACATTTTTTTTATTTAAGTAGACATCGAGTTCTTTCAATGCTTCCATTGATACTCCATTTTCTGATGTGGTAACCAACAAATGTGGAACTTTATTTGCTGCTTCTTTCAAAACCATACAACTTGTAATACTAGTACATTTAAAAACCACCTGGCACATACATATATCCCCTTAAAATAAAAATTGAAAATAATTTTAAGAAAGTATTATTATTTATACATTTTTTCTTAAACCACATATTATTGCATACCTGAAAATGAAACAAATGGTTGAATTGTGACACATTGACACGATCTCTGTTTTCTCTATACATTCTTTAACATACATCCCATTTGCCAGCATAAAATAATGCAGAATTAGTACCATCAACCCCATAGTTAATAAATTGGGGTGTTTCATCAAAATTAAATATTCGACTAGTATCAACAATGCCATTCCAAACCCCTGCTGTAATTTTCTCTTCATTAACCATAACACCAACTTCTACAAGTTCTTAAGCAAGGGAATCTTATATATATTACACAGAAATAAGTATATTTAAAAACGTAAAATGATACTTATTTAAAAATTTTCAAACTAATACCTAAATGATTACATGCCATTTCCCTTCAACAATTCAGTGCACGGTTTATTGACACTCTTCCTTGTCGCTTGATGGTAAGATTGCTATATATAGCATTAAAGCGAAGCCAAAATGATCGACTTAAAAACAATAGTCTGATTAAAAAAAGGGATACTTAAATATAAAGATGATCCTTATTACCCTATTTAGATTTCAGAGGATCATTGTAAGTTTAATTAGTTAGTTTCAACTTACTTTCCTTTTCCAGTGCAGCTCGAGCATTTAATGATAATTTGTGAACCTTTCTTCCACCTTTCATCTTTGTATTAGTGTGATGTCTAATTCGTAGCACATTTTGAGTTAACTTGGTTACTTCCTGTTTATTAATTGCTTGTAAAGACCTGTTCTTATTTTTTATAAAACCAATAGTACATGCTTTTTCATTTTCTGTAAGTATAGTACAATAACTTCTTTCTTGTCCATTGACCACTTTTCTATCTAATCGCCTGTTTATTGTCTCTCTATCTTTGATAAGAGGAAACATACCAGTCTTTAATGCTGCTTGTCCCCTCCCATTCGTTTTTTTGCACCAAATTAAAGCAGCTTCTAATTGCATATTTTTTTCATTAGAATGTTTTCTGGCAACTGTGGCATCAGCTTTTGCACTAAAATTTTTAACTTTGTTTATGCGTAAATGTAACGGAGATGTTGGTTTCATTTTACTTACTATGAACAAATGCAATAAATATAATGAACAAAACTCTAAAATGGCGAACAAACAAAAAAGCATAACTTGCTTCAATGGCAGTATTTCCGCAATAAATTAAGATATATAGTTAAACTTTTTTATGGATGATAAATAGAAATTATCTTCGAGTAAACTATATAAACATTTTAATAAATTATTTCAAATCTTCTTCATAATCATCAAACAACTAACGTGGTTTTTGGGGTGCATATGATGTGGATTTTGTAGTACACTTAAAGCGTTCCATAAAACATAAGTCAGCAGTGATGCAATCATCCTAAGAGCAATTTATTAGAACAATCTTCTTCAAAAAATCAGGTTAAAATTCTTAACAGTTA